GATTGTAATTTGAAAATTAACAATTGATAGTAGTTACACCAACAAATAAAAAAGTAAAAACATGGACAAATAGATATAGGTAATTTATCTGCTGTTCAGTAAATATCAAGGATATCTGTCAATGAATAGGTCATTGAAATGGACGTGTTAAATTTGAATTCAACAATAAATCATAGCATACGTAAAACAACTTTATTTGGAGACAACCTATATATTAAGTAAATTTTATGATTTATATATTATATTATATTGTTATTTTAGTTATTTATTTTACTATTAGTACCTAACCTGACACACTAGGCTGAATTAATTAATATCACTGTATTGTATTACATTTTCTCTTTTTTTGACCAAGGCAAAAACTTATTATGAATTGCAAACAATTAAAAAAAAAACAACATCCAATTTTGGCAAAATCAGTCGCTCATAAAAAATGATACAGGAATTGAATACTTTCGACTATTTTTATGATTCTTGTGAGCAATTAATCTACCATTAAAACGTTTAAAACAAACATGCAAACATAACAAAAATGTTTAAACGTACAAAATCAATGTTTTATATTAACACACCGTGTTTGAAACATAATATTGATATAATAATGACAAAAAAAAATATTCAAGCTCTAATAATCATCCACCACTCTAATATTTATCGACTACCTCATCTATACATGTGTGTAGTTAGTTTAAAACCATTTCAGTTTCTCCCTCAATGATGTACGGGTTGAAGTAGTACACCTCAGCGGCCCAGTACTATTTAAAAACAAAAAACAAAACCATGCTGTAGGTATAACCTTGATAGGTATTTGCAGATTAGTAATATTATTTAGCTTTCAAATTGATTGATAAAGAATAAAAAAAAAATCAATGTCTTTTTTAACTATAATAAATCTTGATATCTTATGTTCCAATCAATTTAGAATTACTTTTAATCTTAATATTTATTTCACGTTAGATCCTGACTATATATATATAATATTATACATAATAACATACAATTGCGTATTTTATTATAATTATATGTATTTTTATTTATACTTATCATATAAATCGTTGTATTGCTGATTTTACAATTTATATATTACCAGTATTTTGGTACCATGTATTTATAGTAGCATATCCAGGGTTTGAATATACGATGTACGTCTATTTTTTGCCACTGCGTCGCCGTAAGGTATTATTATGTACACTACACAATATGATCACATATTATACTTACGCCGTATTTGCGGTGCCGCAGCGGAAAAACTATTTGAAAATATTATTCCTAGGTACTTGAAACTTTTAAAATATATTTTATATTTTGTACACACAATAATATTTTAAAATGAAATTTTTCGGTGGAAATGATCTACCTACTTAGTAATATGTTAGGCTAACAGACAAATTTGCTCACAATCGTTTTTCGTGTACAATGATTTTATACCATTGAATTTAACACATCCATTACAGTGACTGCTTAGATTTCTGGTACTTTTTAATTGCTTTTAAAATAGCTTATGTATGAAGTAGTATTTTATTTTCAATCTTTTTTATTTGTAACATTTTTTATTTAATGAATCAAGAATTTCAAATGTCTATAAATAGCACAAAAAATGACAAAATATTTTGAAATTTATCTCATATATAGAAGATGCTAATATAAATATTTGGTCAAAAATTAAATTCACATCAGTAACAACAAACACACAAAACAAAGTTTAAAAACAATAATACACATCATTGTAAAACCAATACATCTATCGCTCCACTATGCAGCACCTCAACAGATACAAAAAATTAAATGTAAAAAAAAGTACAAAAAACATATATATATAAAATAGGTTAAATAACTACTACAAGGCTGATCTTTATATTCGGAGCACTAAATTTAAATTAAGAAACATAACGCAATTTCATTAACGTTATAGTTCCACAGTTATTAAACGTCATATTGTCACAAACCATGGTTGGTGTATATAAAAATATTAAATAGGAAATGATGTATCTCGTATGATCCACAGCTAGTTATGACCTCTAATTTCATGAGCAATATAATATTACGCCTATTTATATATTACCTATTCATCCCGGACACTGATTATTGGTCAATGATCGCACAAAGATGAAGGAACATGACTAGTAGTAAACACTCTTTAAGAATTTATGAGGACATCTAAAATAATGATGAATAAATAATGTTGATACGATTGAAATGTATAAGTATATATTATTATGTTGCCAATGCTAAATACAAGGTTACGTACCTACCCCCTCCGCCCACCAATGAAAACATGAAATCATAAAATCTATATCATCTTAAACAGAATATTTTTATTGTCGATGCACAAAGTTATGAGCTACGTGTGTATATATTTTTTTTCGTAATTTATCGTTTAAGTATAGGAGAAAAATATTCAAATAAATGTAAATGATAAAAAAAGAGCCAAAATAGCTTGAATATTATATAATAAAATTATATTGACTAAATACTAATATGAATTTTGTCAAAATTTCAAGTCTCTACAGTGGTTTTTCAGTTATTTTTAAGAACTGCGGGTTTTTACTTTTTACTTCCCACAATATCAATCAAATTCAGTTTTCAATCAGAAACCAGCCACAAAATTGAAATTAAAATTTGATGAACAACATAAACAAAAATACACATTATTGTGAAATCGCATATTTACTCAGAAACTATAAATATATTAACGTATACTCCGTATAATACTCGTATTAGATTTAATTTTCAAACGCGTTTCTAAATGTATTTAATTATAGATTTAACGCTTAAACTACTAAAGATTTTTTATGTATGTCTATAAAATGTAAATTTTTGTGTTGAAAAAAATGTATTTATTATTTTACACATATCCATATACTAATCTACTCGTAAGTATACGGTGTGTAATCAGGTTA